TATATATATATATATATATATATATATATATATATATATATATATATTACACCCACATTTTAGGTTTTGCATAAATAGACATTGAAAACAAAAGAACTGCAGTATTAAAGTTATTGTGATAATTACCTATTTAAGTAGAGAATTTTGTTTTGAAAAGAAAGTTTTGATTAAAGAGTGCACATTGTGATTTATGAGGGTCTTTTTCTTTTTTTTAATGCCACAGGAAGGAAAAAAATGCGGGCTCCCCGCCCTCGCACTCCCACTCTCGAAAACAAGGAGATCCCTCCTCTCGAGCTTCCAGAAACCTCTGAGGATCTTTTGGTGCCTAACGAGGAGCTGCTCAACATAACCTCCATCTATGAGGTCCTGCGGAACTTCAGCACCGTGCTTCGTCTCTCTCCCTTTCGTTTCGAGGACTTCTGTGCGGCGCTCATTGGCCAGGAGCAATGCACGTTAATAGCCGAAACACACACCTCCCTGTTGAAGGCCATTTTGCGTGAGGAAGACTCTTCCAACACTACCTTCGGCCCTGCAGACCTCAAGGACAGCGTCAACTCCACTCTGTATTTTATCGACGGCATGACGTGGACTGAGGTTTTGAGGTCTTACTGTGAAAGTGACAGAGAGTTCCATCATGTTCTGCCACACCTAGAGATGGACGAGTATCCCTATGGTCCTCTTGAAAGTAAGATCAGGGTGCTCCAGTTTTTGGTGGATCAGTTCCTTACCACCAACATCGCCCGAGAAGAGCTCATGTCCGATGGCAGCATGCAGTATGACGACCACTGCCGCGTGTGTCACCGCCTTGGTGACCTGTTGTGTTGTGAGACTTGCTCAGCGGTCTACCACCTGGAGTGTGTGAAACCACCGCTGGAGGCTGTCCCAGAGGATGAGTGGCAGTGTGAGATTTGCGTGGCACACAAAGTGCCAGGAGTCACAAACTGTGTGACTGAGGCGCAGAAAAACAGGCCCTACATCCGCCAGGAGCCCATTGGATATGATCGCCATCAGAGGAAATACTGGTTCCTCAGTCGAAGGATTATTATGTAAGTTATTGTTTTTGTAATCCTTTTAAGTTAATTTTTACCAACCTCTTTGTATTCTCTTCTACACATCACAATAAAATGGCAACAAATAAATCTGATCTAATAATAGTACAAATGAGTATCACAAAGTGAAGCAAAAGCTGAAGTTATCACATTCTCAAAAGGAAAAAGCATCAATGAGATGGAGTCAAAAACAACTTGTAGTTTAAATTGCTGTTTATCTTAGTCGAGTTATTCAGATTGGATTGTGCAAATATGTTGAGTGTAGCAAGGACTCCACTAGATGTGATGCTTAACATTGATTCACAGGGAAATATGTTGGACGCCATTGTGGATTTTCCACACTTTTGGTCAGTGGAGAGTTCAGTCATTTCAGATGCCTCAAAGCAAGTTGAGAAAAAGTGTTGAAGCTGAACTTAAACACGACTTCACAGCCTAATTCATGGATCAGTTTGTTTTCTGAAACACCAACAGCAGCTGCCTTAAAACCATATTTAACCTTCACAAACAGGCCTTAATTAAGGCTTGATCAAAACAAATCATACAAGCAAGTAGCTACTTAACTACACTTTTCTAAAGTATGATCTTGCACTTGTCCACCCTAAAATATGAGGGCTGAAGGTGGAACTAGGTTAGGCTGATTATTTGTTGGCATGCCAAACCAACAAGCTTTCCACAAATTTCATCTTTTGTTTTTAAGAAATGACAGAAGTTAAAGTCCAGGCTCTTCATTAATGCCTCTTCTCCTTGGAATAATTTGTAATTTAAGGTAAAACAGGATCATTTATTTTCTGTTCCATTCATGTGTGAATCGAATTGAATGGGGGTTCAAGTTCAATTCTTCTCTTGGCAGTTCGCTTTCCAGCTGTCGCCACGGAGAGTCAACCTCCATCTCACTCTAAGTTAATTGATTTAATGAAATAGGTAGTCTTGACAGATTAAACTACTGTTAAAACCAGTTTAGTACACATTTATGTTGTCTGCCAAGTTCTAGTTGTTTCTCTAAGATGTGGAGGAGGAAGAGCTTAAGATGCATCTGTCATCTCATCTTCACAGTGAGGAAGACGGGGAGCACAAGAAGAAGAGGATCTGGTATTACAGCTTGAAGGCACAGCTGGAAGAGCTCATCGAGTGTCTGGATAAGGAATACTGGGAGACGGACCTTCATGCCATCCTGGAGGAGACGAAGGAGGAGGTGAAAGCCCACATGGACATCACAGAGGACCTCACCAACAGAGCTCGTGGAAGCAATAAGTCCTACCTTACTGCTGTCAACGGTACAGATTTAACTCCCTATCCATATAAACCAGAATGGGTTTAAAATGTAATCTACATCCATGTAGTAGAACGTTGTTTCAGAGATGGTCATGGTGACATTATCTTGAACGACAGGCTTACGCTCTGAAGTGCTTGGTGTCAGATACGTCCCTCAGGCTTCACTGTTCACTGCCAGACACCTGGATGTAGTTTTTTTTTTTTCTTCTTCTTACCAGCAACTGTTTCCCCCTCAGCTTTCCTCCAAGAAGTCAGGTTGGTTAGAAGATTGCAGCCAGCTGTTTCCGTTTCTGTTTGTCAGGCTGCTGTATCTTTTCTATGGCACTTCCCTTTCGTGTCACCAAAACAACTGCTTCCAGTTCTTAATGTGACAGCCAGGTGTTTTGTTTGATTGTAGCTGTGCCTGTAGCCTCTGGAGGTTTGACTAGGTTCACCTCCAGCACAGCCTCAAATAAAACCAATATACAAGTTCCAGTTTAGCTGGGTTACATGTGTGAAGCAATATTTATGTTTCTAGAACATAGCTTACCATATTCTCCTTTTTTCTAAACTGCTACCTACACAATCAGCTGCTGTCATTTAGAACATGTTTGCACTTGGCTGAAACTGATTTTTCTCCAACATAGATTTAATAACCTTAAACAACTAGCATTTGTTTTAATTCCCCTTTTGTATAAAAAGTTGTCCCCCTACATGTTTTACTTGAGAATTGATTTTAAATGACAGTTACGTAATAGATGGCTTGTATGTTTGAAATTTAATAAAGCCATTTGTTTACAGGAGTGGTTCTGGAGCGGTTAAAGATGAGGCGAGAGGCGCAGGAAGCAAAGAGGCGAGCGAACGAGACGAAGCAGGAACCAGAACATGGCTCAGTGCACAAGGCTGAGATCGGTGCCGCGGTCTCATCGCAACCCAACAAAATAAAGGATGCAGAGAACCTGGATGATAAGTCCAAAGGTGAAAGCGATTAAAACATGCTCCGTTAATTCTTTTAAGCTTGTTTAAGGCACTTTTCACACATGATGCTGAGCTTGAAGGAATCTTTGTCAATATTAAGTTAAATTTCTGTTGTTCCACAGCTGCTACAATTCAACCTGCAGCAGAAGAGAAGTGCACATCAGGTAATCCAGCCTCTGCTACCCAGAATGCAGCTGCATTTAAGACACGATCACTTGAGAAAAGCCAGGAAGCAGAAGCTGATCATTCTGGGAGTCAGAACAGTGGAGAGTCTTTTCCACGGGCAGAGCAGAGCACGACAGGTACTCAAGTCATCGGTCATTTGTCCGGAAGTTCAAATTCATCCTTTTTACCTCCTGCTTTTTGGCTGTACATGCATCTTTGCTCTCATCCAGATTATTGCCTTTTCTATTTCTGTGTTGAAAGTTAATCTTGTTGTGCCGTACTAGAGTTGTAATGACTGAAGCACATTATGTACAGTATGTCTGAGATTTTCACGTCACTTTGCATAGTCAAAAGTAATTGGAGACTCTGATGTGTAGTTTTTCTTTTTTTTTCTATCTTATATGAAGCAGGGAATCCAGATTTCCTTTTTATTTATACACTGCCTGGCCAAAAAAAATGTTGCCACCAAAAAAAGAGGTCACACACTAATATTTCGTTGGACCGCCTTTAGATCAGCTGTGGCATTGTTTCGATGAGCTTCTGCAATGTCACAAGATCTATTTCCATCCAATGTTGCATTAATTTTTCACCAAGGTCTTGCATTGATGATGGCAGATTCTGACCACTGCACAAAGCCTTCTCCAACACATCCTAAAGATTCTCAATGGGGTTGAGGTCTGGACTCTGTGGTGGCCAATCCATGTCTGAAAACGATGTCTCATGCTCCCAGAACCACTCACAATTCGAGCCCGATGAATCCTTGCGTTGTCATCTTGGAATATGCCCGTGCCATCAGGGAAGACAAAATCCATTGATGGAGTAACCTGGTTATTCAGTATATTCAGGTAGTCAGCGGACCTCATTCTTTGAGCTCATACTGTTGCTGAACCTGGACCTGACCAACTGCAGCAACCCCAGATCATAGCACTGCCCCACAGGCTTGTACACTAGACACTAGGCATAATGGGTGCATCACTTCACCTGCTTCTCTTCTTACCCTGATACACCCATCACTCTGGAACAGGGTGAATCTGGACTCCTCAGACCACATGACCTTCTTCCATTGCTCCAGAGTCCAATCTTTATGCTCCCTAGCAAATTGAAGCCTTTTTTTCCAGTTAGCCTCACTGATAAGTGGTTTTCTTAAGGTTACACAGCTGTTCAGTCCCAATCTCTTGAGTTTCCTTCGCATTGTGCGTGTGGAAATGCTCTTACTTTCACTATTAAACACAGCCTCGAGTGCTACTGTTGTTGTGGGTTTTTTTTTTTTTCGATTTGATTTCACCAAATGTTTAAGTGATCCCAATTTTAGTAGTTTCTGCAATCTCCTGAGATGTTTTCTCTGCGTGATGCCAATGATTTGACCCTTCTCAAACAGACTGACATCTTTTCCACGACCATGCGATGTGTCTTTCCACATGGTTGTTTAAGAAATGAGAAGCAACTTGTTGCACCAGTTGGGGTTAAGTAACTTGTTTCCAGCTGAAAGATAATCACCCATGCAGTAATTATCCAATACGAGGCTCGTACTTATTTGCTTAGTTAAATCCAGGTGGCGACTTTTAATTTTGACCAGGCAGTGTATCTAAAGTGTATTTTATGGTTTACACATTTCACCAGCTCTGTCTGAGTGTGGCTGTTCCCTGACTGTAATGTGGTGCCTCTCTAGTTGAGTGTTTGCTTCTGTTGTGTGAAATGGTGCTCCTGGCTCAGGCTGCGATGATGCTTGATGCCAGAGAATTATCAGGTGTTTTTCTGTCATCGTGGATGATTCACAATGTGAAACGAGATACAGTTGCTCTTTGCACATGGATATAAAACATTCATCTCTTGCTGTAATACAGTGCAGGGGTCTTCAGTTATAATTCAGCTCAGAATGTGTTTTAAATTTGTTTTTGTGGCCTCAGTTTGAGTCTGAGGGCATTGGATTTCTCAGATAATTAAATTTTTTAAGCTATGTTTACATGGACATAAGTAATCTGATTAAACGGCCGTTCGGAATAAAAACGCGTCATGTAAACACCCTGTTCAGGTTATTTTTTTGTTTATTCAACGCGATCCGAAATAATTTGATCAGAATGAAACGGGTGTTTTACGCCGATTCATAACCCGAACGGTGCGCATGTAAACACTTGATCTGTTCTTTTTTTTCTTTTTTTTCTGATCGTGAAAAACTGACCTGACTGTGCATGTACGCCCGATGTCATTTCCACCTGGCTAATGCTAATAATATTAGCATGTGGGGGAAGCAAAACTGGTCGGTAAGCGACACAGTATTTCTTCTAGAAACTTTGAAAGAGCTCAAAATGATCTGTATCACTTGTAGCTCAGTCAGGGAGTGCAGGAACGTCTCCACCGTCATTAAAACCTGTCGCGTGTCCATGTAGGGTGCTCAGGTTTGTTTACGTTCATCCTGGAAGTAAACCGGAAGTAGAACTACTTCTTCGGGGTATTTTTAAGGAGAGTTTACCACTCTGCACATGTCAGTACTTGTGTTCAGAACAAAGCCCGCTGCATGTAAACGCTCGTCATGAACAGATTGTGCCCGTGTAAACGATACATTTGGATTATTTAATCTGAAAACATTCAATCCGGTTAAAAAAAAAATTGCGCATGTAAACATAGCTAGCGTGATGTAGATTGATGCTGCTGTCTCTGAACATGAGACAAACAAGTTTTAAACGCTACAGGAAGTCTGAACACGCGTTTATTCAGTCTGGATAAAAACTTCAACTTTTCCCTTTTAGTGGCAGCCATACGTTTCTTCACTGTGTTGTTTTCTTTGAAACTTTTCACACACTTAACTTTTTCTGCAGAGGAAAACCAGCCTGTGGAAATTACCATAAAGGCTAGAAAAGCTGTGCCATGTAAATTTACTGTAAATGCTAATAAACTTGCAAAGGAGAAACATATTTTCATTTGAAATTTCACAACTGATCTGAGTCCAGATAAGACCATTTGGGTCTAGATTCAGGCAGGGTTTTATCATTTAAAGAGCCCTGCTGCAGTGCTCTTAAACCACCTAATTATTTGTTAGGTGGAAAATGCACAAATAACTTCCTAATCTATTTTTAAAAAAATTCCTGTATTACTTTGTCTTATTGTTGAATTAGATGTTTATAGAAAAATCTACCATTTAGTCCCTCGTCTTGTGCTTCGTATTGTCTCCTGCACTCGATTGTCTTGAAAAGCTCTTCTTTTTTTTTTGGCACGGTGGTAGATGGCTTCCCTGGCAGCAACTACTGCGCCATGTCTGCCACAGGCAGCCCTTTTTGTCTCAGTCCAATTTTTGGACCTTTGGGTGGGTTTGTGTTGCTCAGTCAAAGGGCCCTCTGCCTGGAAGCCCACCTGCTACCTCACTAACAAAGAGCTGTGTACATATTCAGGCAGCTAGTCTTATTGTGGCTTGGCAGCAGGTGTACAGCTTGGTTGGCATGTTGGCAAAATTTACATTAAATTCATCTGTTTCATGGACATTTTTAATCACATAACTTACAACTCATTATTTACAACTTTTGTTTCTCTGTTGTTTACTGCACCTAAATTTAATTTTACTGTATTTTATTTAGACGAGAACCAAAAGTCAGAACCTGGCCATGCAGCTGCACAAAGAGACGACTCATCACCAGCCCAAGATCAGGCACAGCAGCGATCGTCTCATCCAGAGGCGGCTGGTGACAGCAGCCAGGTTTCTGGCTCTGATGGTCTCAGTAAGCTGGACCCACCCGATCTAGCTGACAGGTCCTCGCAGTCCTCTTTCACCAGCCAGGATGGGACGGGTAAGGATTCACAGGGTTTGCTGACTGTGACTTTCAGATAACGGCCAATAAAACACGGAGTCTGAAGTTGGCTCAGTTGTCAGATTTAGGGGTGTGAATCTCAGTGTCTGGCGATTCGATTCCGATTTTTTATTTATTTTTTGGTGTCACGATTTGATTCAAAATGGATTTTTCTATTGAAATGGTCATAAATTTTGTTTCAGTTATGTAATTGCCTAGATGAAAAGATTAAACAACAATGTAAACAAATAGAACATTTATTTAAAACAGTAATTTTAGGTTCCTTACTGTATCAAAACTTTTTGCATGATTTTATATTTATACCAAATATAGGAGAGAATAAAATTTTGTAATTTAAATGACCAGTATTAGTTTAGCTTAGTTGCCTGGATTTTTCTCAAAAAATAAAAAATAAATCGAGGAACAAATAATTAATCCATCCATCCTTCCATTATCTTTACCCACTTCTTCCTTTTCGAGTCACGAGAGTCACTGGTGCCCATATCAGCCATCACTGTGCGAGAGGCGGGGGACACCTGGACAGGTTTCCAGTCCATCACAGACAAATGATTCAAAATATATAAATACAAAAGTAAACAAAGACTTCAGCCTGCCATAGTATATTTAACTCAACATAAAATACAGACTTCACAGTCTTAACCATATTTATTCATATTTAGTAAATTTTTAACACAATTTCAAAACCTGTGCAAGTTTGCACAGAAACTCTTCTGAGCTGTAATTTATAAACCATAAATTGTATCATTTAGAACAGGCTGTAGGCGATGTGTCTCATCTGGCCTCTCTTCACTCTCTTCTCTTGGGGCTGACATGGTTTAGGGGCATGGCAGCTGACTCAGAACCCGAAGGTCCTGGATTCTATCCCCAGTCGTTGCACATCTCGTGGAGTCTCTGAGCAGGACACCTAATCCCGAATTGCTCCCCGGGCACTTACATAGCTGCCCACTGCTCCACCAGGGTGTATCCCAGGTGCGATGGGTTAAATACAGAGAACTAATTTCGTCCTTGTATGGGAACATACAATGATGACAACACATAGCATTTTATTATATTTATTATTATTTATCATTATTCAACCTGTACAACTTGTCTATATAAGTTTTTGTATAATATGAGGAAAAAACGGTTACCTTTGAGCTGCAGCTGCATCAGAGCGTCTCCCACTTTATTTTTGTTTCATGGTGGAGTTGTGACGCAGCTTTATCACTAAAAATGCTACATGAAGGAATAACGTACTCCAGCGTATTAAAAATAAACCTAAACCCCTCGCTAGGGCTGGGCGATATATTGATTTTTTTATATCGATAGAATTTAATTCACAATATAAAATGAGACTATATCGATATAAAACGATATAGTCTTAAGCCCTATTTGCACGGGATTAGTTTTACCTAGGGACCACATGCTATTTGTAATAATTATGGAGATTGTCTGTGTTGTTAATCCCATGCGAATCTGCCATGTCAGTAATTTGTAAAATGAAAATTCCCCCGCACATTTCCTACTATATTTTGCTGAACTCCCTCCAACTGAGCTCTGCACTTTCAGAGTAAGAGCTTTGTTAATAAATGTTATTAAAGGTTGAATGAATAAAGGCTACTTCATTAGAATCAGACTTCAGATTTATTAATAAATCAGGGTGTCGTAAAACAGTGAAATACTAAAAACAAGAACATATTTGCTTTGATTTTTCTATGGACATTATCAAATGTCTTGTTACTTGTATTTGTATATGTAAATAAATGCCTAAAAAACTAACTTTAATATATGTAAATAGTTTATTTTTTAGACATTTATTTTGTACAGTTACAGCTGTTAATAAATGTGCCTGTGTGACAACTGGGACAAAACTTTGACTCTGAAATATATTTTTATTACTTAATGGAAAGAAAAAATATTGAGATATATATTGTATATCACAATTTATCTTAAAATACTGAGATATTCATTTAGGTCTATATCGCCCAGCTCTACCCCTCTCCTTCCACTGAGCTGTTTGCTCGTAAATCCTTTGTGATGTAGCTGGAGATGGAGAGGGAACGCTTCGCAGACTTTGGGGAATCAGCTGGAAGTTTGTCGTTTCTGTTTGCTGATCTGCTGCTTTCGTTTTCATTGTCCACGCATTTTGTCGTATTTCCAAAATACTGTACCGCAATGTTATTTTACACTTCTTGCAAACAACCGTGCTCTTGTCGAGCTCTGTCTTCCTCCAGAACATCGTAGGATCTGAAATGACTTTTAAAGACGAAGAAGCGGATTGAATCGCGCTGTCCCCCTGCTCTATACTAGCAGACTCCATTCAGATAAAGGGAGCTGCATAACTAGCTTGCTGTACGGTGGCCTACATGGCCCAATTCTACGGCGGCTGAGCAGACTCATATTGCGATATGCAGTACGCTCGGGAGTAGGAGCGGGGGGAAAAAAACAAACGCATTTTAAAATCAATTTTTGGGCCGTTACAATCGATTCAGAATCGCCAGGACTAAGAATCTAGATTCTATAAAAAATCAATTTTTTATGCACCCCTAGTCAGATTATTCTTCTAGTTCTGATGTTGTCATCTGGTTTTTGAACGACAGTTGAGTATAATGAGCGGGTCAAGAACGAGAATGCAACAGGACAAGAATCTGAAAATCAGATGAACAGGAGCAGCAAAGAGGTAAGGCGACGTGGAGGGTTTTGTAACAAACGAGTTGTTAAAATATGAAATTACTAACAGTTAAAGGGACAATCTGTATCTGCACTCGTCTTTCAGTCACCCCCCATGTGCGTCGCTGGTGACGCCACACGTCTGAGCTTCTTGAAAAGGGACCTGGCTGTAAATTTAAACAACTTGTTCAAACTGGGTCAGGAGGGCAAGTACAGGGTCTACCAGAACCAGTACAGCACCAACGTGCTGGCACTCAACAAACATCAGCACCGAGAGGATCACGACAAGAAGCGCCACCTCTCCCACAAGTTCAGCCTGACCACCGCCTCCGACTTCAAATGGAACGGCTCCATCTACGGGTCGCGGAGTCTGACCATCGCCACGCTTCGACTCACCATCATCCAGCTGGAGACGAACGTGCCGGGACCGTTCATGCATCCCAACTGGGCGTCGCACAGGTACCAAGAGAACACCGGCAAGACTAAACGCTGTTTCTGCCATGCCAAACTTTTCGGTTTTCAGTTAGTGTTAAGAGTTGCTTTTATCAGTCTTGTTCACTTTTTAAAGTTTTATTCATTTATTTATTTTGCAGGACCAACTGGAACAAAGCGGTGCAGATGTGCAGCAAAGCCAGGGAGTTTGCTTTGGCTTTGGCCATTTTGGAGTGCGCAATCAAACCAGTGGTTATGCTGCCCATATGGAAAGAGTCTCTGGGACACACAAGGTAAAGGACTCAAACAGCATCACACACACACACTGTATGCTTTTGAAAAGACAAAGCTGCAGGTAATATTTCATGCAGTGGATTAAGCAGTAGCCAGTCTGATTTATGCTTTGGCCTAATTCTTTGTTTGTTTTGTATCAGGTTACATCGAATGACCTCTATGGAGCGGGAAGAAAAGGAGAAGGTAAAAAAGCGAGAGAAGAAGCTTGAGGATGAAGAGACCTTGCAGCAGGCCACATGGGTGAAATACACCATCCCCATCAAGCATCAGGTGATACAACTGCAGCACTGAGTCATTGAAGAACTGAATGTTGCCGTGAAAGCTTTTATTACAAGTGGACTGATCGATGGCTGCCTCCATGTGTTAAATTGTTTGTTTTTTCTTTTGAAGGTGTGGAAACAGAAGGGTGAGGAGTACAGAGTGACCGGATATGGAGGCTGGATCTGGGTCAGTAAGACTCATGTGCCCCGTTTTGTCCCAAAACTACCAGGAAACACAAACGTAAACTACCGTAAAGAATTGGAGGGTAAGAACTCAACTTGTTTAATTCCTCAAGCTAACTGATTTTATTTTTGGACATTTGAGGGTCTGATGCGCAGCTTGTTTCCTTTTAGCTAAAATGAATAAAGAAAATGCCGCAATTTGCACAAAAAAACACAAAGAGATGACGGAAAGCAAGAAGGTGTCGACTCAGATCAAAGAAGACGAGGACCAGTCGCTGGTCAGCGCACCGTCTACGATCACTTCCTCGCCTGATGACAGCAAACCTCAGACCACCAAAGAGGAAGAAGACCGTTCAAAGGAGGAGCAGGAAATTACTGCTGAAGAGAAGAACGTAGATGAAAAGATGGAGGTTGACTCCAGCATCAAAACTTCAACTGATACACAAGGTTTGAAATGAATTTATTTTCTTGGATTAAAGTTCTCCGTCGCTGTGACAGATTTCCATCATTTTGAACGTGGCCAGGATGGATTTTCATAATATGTAAAAATGAAAAGGGGAATAAATATGTTTTGTTGTGCTCCTATTAAAACCATCCTGTCTAATCCTGATACAAGGATTAAACTGACACTTCTTCAAATCAAGAGCACAGCAGTCTTAATTTTACTCAGTCAGAGCAGAGCAGGGCGGGTTGTGCCGTCTTGATTCATAGTGAGTGAATAATTGTAGTTGAAGTGTTGCAGTACAAATGCTAGGTCTGAGCTGAGCTGCCACAATTTCCACTCCTTGCCCAGAAGTAGCGGAGCTGTTTGCTATGGGGGGTTTGGTAGGCGGGGCGCTCGGTTCTGTCGACATGGCTACACAAGTTGAAATCCCATGAATATACCGGTAATCCCTTTAAATGAAATGGTCATTTTAGAGGAGACATCTGTCATTCTGGTGATGATTCTCGTAAACTTCAGGTGTAGAAAAAGTTTCAGTAAAAAAAAAAACAATTCTTACTTTAATCATTGTATATATCCAGCAAAGCTCTACAGTAGTCCCTCATTTATTGTGGGGGTTACGTCCTCCCCCTGCGCGCGCATACGCGCACCGCAACTAGTGAAAATCCATGAAGTAGCAACATTATATTTAATTTAGTACTGTATGGCTTTACAAACCCTTCCCTCACTCTTGCAATGTTCTGAACTCTTAAACGTACGTCCATTTTAACAACATACTTATATGTAGCTACAAAATTTTATTCACCAGCTCGGCAGAACAGCAGTGGCTCGGTTCCACTCCGACTTGGTTCAATTTTGGCTGACCTACCCTGCCGGTTCTGGTCGGCTCTCTGGCTCGGGGTAGTGACAGTGGGCTCTGGAGAGAAGTCGAACCTACGGCGACGCATCCCCACTCGGAAGTCCTTGTGGGCCGACTAGCAGCTCTCGGGTTCGCCGATGGGTCTGAGGGTCCGATTCTACTTTAATTTCTGGTCCAGTTCCCGGTGGGTGCTGTGTAGCTCTCTGCATCCTCTGGGCGCCAAAGTCTCTGTATAAATAAGGACCGAACTTTTTCGGATGAGATCAAAACTTTCCCTACACATTTCAGCAGAAGGCAACGGGGCTTCTGGGAAATGTAGTCTTTATCAGTGGTAATACAGTTGAGGCTTATTGAGAGAAAACTACAAAATGGCGGTGCCTGTCCAAAGTATCTTATTTTTTTGTAAACTTTTTACTGTACACTACTGTATCCAGAACTGTCCCAATCACGTGAGGAATATTAAAGTTGACAATCATGTGTCCTGTACAATTTGTATTTATTTTCCTCGTGTTCAATCTGACTTTGAAAACCCTCGAAAGAGCGAGTCTGCGAAAATTGAACCGCAAAGTAGTGTGTGACTACTGTACTTCTATCATCAGCTAACATCTGGGATTCTTCTTCACAGATAAAGTTGAAAGCAACGGTCCTTCATCGACCACTGCACCTCCTGTTGGAGTTGAGCCCACTCAGACACCCGAGCAACACAACAAGGAGGAGACCACAACATCACAAATCTTTTACGATGTGGTGAATGTTAGCGAGGGCTTCCAGCTGAGGACGGCATATAAGAAGAAGGTAAAGCCATCCAAACTGGATGGACTCTTGGAGCGTCGGGTAAAACAGTTCACCTTGGAGGAGAAGCAGAGGCTGGAGCGGATGAGACAGGCCTTGTCCAAAGCAGCCACCATGAAGCCCACGACTGGGGTGAAAATTGAAGGAGCAGCATTAAACAAACCGCAGCCTGCTGCCACCTCAGCTGTTAAAGCAGAAGAGAAGGGGGAGAACCTACAAGTGAAAGACCGTGTGGTTAAAAAACTTGAGTTTGAGCAGGAGGACACAAAGACAGAGATCAAGAACATCAAACCTGACCCTGGAAATGAGGAGGCCTGTACCAATAAAGAAGTGAATGGAGAACCTGAGCTGAGCAGTACAACCAGCTGTCGGTCAGAGAAGACCGAGCACAATGAAAAAACACAGAAGGAAGAGGGTTGTCTAATAACAGACACTCCTAAGAAGCGTGGCTATGATGAAATGGAGCAAAGCAGTGGAAAGAGCGACGCTGAAAACATGGAGGAAACCCAAAGTAAGAGCATTTCATCGCACGTGAATGGAAAAACCACAACAGCAGATCCAAACACCAACTCAGACCCTGGGAATCCTGTCCAGAGTGTGTGTTCAGATCCAGAGAAGGAGCCGGTGAAGTCTCTGATGAATGGAAATCTGTCGCAGAATGATTTTTCTAATGCAGCCCATCCCCCTCCTCTCAAAGTCCCAAAATTAGAGAACCATGTTGGCGATAAAGAAGAACTTGTAAATAAGAGTGCTGTGACGACGGACAGTGAGGGGTCAGTGACGGCAAAGCTCGAATCCTCGAGCACTTCCTGCCACAACAGTAATAACACAGACACTTGCACCAACGTCTCTTCAAAGGAGTCTCAAAGTTCACTCGTGCGTGACACATCCAACAGTATTAGTAAGCCCGATGCAACTTCTCGAGGGGAAATGGGTTCTGTTTCGTTCGGTCCCGTCACCACCCAACCCAGCTTAGAAGCAGCTGGCTTCCAGAAGAAGAAACCTAATGACACCAAATCGACCCCCCAGGGCTCCACATCAACTAGCTCCATGACGATTAGTAAAGAGTATTCCACCAAAGACAGAGTCAGCCTTCTCAGGTACTCCAAGTCCAAGAAGGCCCGCTCGGGAATCGCACTGCCCTCCTACCGAAAGTTTGTGACTAAGAGCAGCAAGAAGAGCCTTTTTGTCCTCCCAAATGATGAGCTGAAGAGGCTGGCGAGGAAGGCAGGCATTAAAGAAGTGCCCATCTTCAGCTACAATGCCAAGCCGGCGCCAGATATCTGGCCCTACCCTTCACCTCGGCCCACCTTTGGGATCACCTGGAGGTCGGTAACAAATCTTGTTCCACTTTGTTAGAATGGGTGTCGGTTTCCATTTACAACTTGCACAGGTGCTGAATGGAAAGGATAGCTCAGATCTTTTGACATGAGCTTCAGTGGAAAAGTTGACAACAGTTTACATCTGGTAGACTGAAGCTAACTGCTAGTCCAAAAAATGTTTAAACTATTTTACTAGATCAGTGGCACCCACACTTTTTCAGCATGCGAGCTCCTTTTAAAATGACCAAGTCAAAGTGATCTACCTGCTATAAGACCCCGTTTACACAAGAACAACCTCTAGAAATGTCAGTGTTTTTTAATGTGTATTGGGGGTAATAAACAAAAAATGAATGGTTTTACATGAAAACGCTGTAGTTTCCGTGTCAATCGGGTTGCCAGATAAGAAATGATGAACTATAGTACTGTGGCTTTAAAATGATAGTATTTTGACCTAAACTGTCATGTGGTGAGTAAATATATTCTAAGATGAGGTGTGTGTTGTGTTTGTTGAACATGTGCACAGAAAAGGAGGGGGTAAATAAAACATTTTAAATTTATCTGGCAACCCTGATGCAGTGCTCAGCTCGATTCGTTGTAGCGTCTGCATGATCACAGTTTCATCCAAACTATTGAATACACTGACGTCTCTTTGGAACTGGATTTAATTAGTTTTGCTCAACATGCTGAAAAAGTGTGAGCAGCACAAAAACACTCTCTGCCATTTATTATAACTGTTGTTAGTGCAGGAAAACTTGGGACTGCAGCTGCCTGTAGTGCACATGTGCCACTTCACACACAAAATTTCACGGTGGGGGGTGAATATTGATAAATATAAATATTTTCCTTGAAAATCTCCACTCTGCGTCCTGGTTTGAGAGAATGAAGGCTGTGACTGGCTGGCCTGTATGTCAGTCAAGTAAAAAAATATAGTGAGGATGGATGATAGGCTGCCATCTGTGTTTTAATGCCATGCGATCTACCCATAATGCCTTTGTGATCAACGTATTGGGCGCACCTGTTCTAAATGGACTTGGTTTAAATTTGTTTTATTGTCTAGTGTATTGATTTGCATATATTTGCTTTGGTTTTTATGCTCTATTTAATTTATACTGTTTTAATATTTGTCTATGCTTCAGCATGCACATAAGCATTTGTGTGTGTTTAGTGTTATTGGATTTCACTGTTTATCCTTGTGCCTCTTCAGGTATCGTCTGCAGACTGTGAGGTCTCTGGCGGGTGTTAGTTTGATGCTGAGGCTGCTGTGGGCCTGTCTGAGGTGGGACGACATGGCTGTGAAGCCCTCCACTGCTGTAGGGATGACTCGGAAAGGTGAGAACGTCTGCAAACAAAAAGCTTCCCAGTTTTGGTCATCCAGAATAAACTTCCTGATATTAGATTGTATTTCAGCTGAAATATGGAGTGCTTGTAATTTGTCAGACTTTTCTGTAAAGCTGAAGAGTTCAAGCTTGTTATGAGGGATAAAATGTTGGGATGTTCAAAGAGAAGTTCAGCCGCTTTTTCTTTAAAACCTGTTGGTTTGTTTAGAAACCACCGACACAGACATCATCACTACAGAGATTATGAAAAGGAGAGACGTGGGGCCCTATGGCATCCGCTCAGAGTACTGCATCAGGAAGATCATCTGTCCCCTCGGGAACAGAGACACACCCAAAGGTAAGAAATACACCTTTGTTTGGAACTAATGTGGTGTCTAATCAGTTCATAAGATTAATAAATAGTTTTTACTTTCTATGAGTAGAAACCCCAACTCCACAGAGGAAAGGCCTGCGCTCAAGTGCTCTGAGGCCGAAGAAGCACGAACCAGCCAAGCAGACCGGGCCTTTGGCTGTGGAGACGTGGATACCTGAAGAGGAGCTCGAGCTCTGGGAGATCCGAGCCTTTGCAGAGAGGTTAGAAACTCCCACCACGTCATCTGGTTTTTTTTTTTTTTTTTTTTTTTCAAACGAAGTTTTGGTTCGTCACGTTTTTGCCTCTTCTTGGTGTTGCAGGCTGGAGAGGGAGAAGACACAAGGGTTAGAGCCCGCCAAAACCAGCAGCACCCTGAAGACAGTAGAGGAAGTCAAGGCTCATTTAGACAACCAGCTGAAGCAGGCTAGACTGGCTGCCCAGCAGGTGGGGGAAACTGCACACACCAACCCCCCACCCTCCACCCCCGATCTGTCAGGTCAACAAACCTGATATAAACCCAACATGTCGTTTTGTGTTCGTTTTAGAAACGTTTGGAGCCGCTGAAACCGAGCACAACTGCCACCACTTCCACAACTCCCACCACGTCAGACAGCTCTCCCAGTACCCTGACCTCCACAGGCCTGAGGACGGGTCCGTTGCCACCTGGAACCAAGATGGCCCTGTCCACCAAGCTGGGCTCCCCAGTTCCTCTCCAGCAAGACAAGAACTTCCATCAGTCGTTCGCCTCCTGGGTGAAGCAGGGTCAGAACAACGGCACAGGTGAGCAGGTGGAGGAGACGGACCTGTCACGAGTCAGCCTCACCCGTTCTCATCCACTGAAACCAAACGGACAAACAAATGACTTTAACATTCATTTTATTTTGTCAGTTTTAGTTTTCTTTTCCTCCGTCTTTCTTTTTGCTTAAAGCACAGGAAGCAGCTGTTTTTTTTATGTTCATATTCATAAATATGATTGGCTTCTAAATGATTAAAGAGCTTGTGGTGTCCACTTTCAGTCAGCAGCCACTTCAAAAGAAATGGACAAATACATTAAGCATAAATAAATCAAAAATCAGGCATGGAAGAAGTTTATCCAGTGTGCAAAGGGAGGTCGTTCACCAACCCAGGAGCTGCAGCAGAGAAAGCCCAGCCCCCTCTTTAAGGTTTTGACACACTGGATCACATTTTTTGGATCATGGCAGCCTCGTTGTTGACTGAAACCTTCCAGTGGACACCACAACTGTTCTCTGGCTGATTTGGTGGGCCTGTTGGGGTGACAGTAGGTGGCATGGTGTGTCTTGCAGCCTCCACAGTGGCTGGCAGCATCTCCACCTCAGAGCAAACCCTCCAGATCGCTGGCAGCCCAGTGACTGTGGCTGGCCAGGTCCTCGCCGCCAAACTGCCTCTGCCTGCTAACAGCAAGATTGTCGCGCTCGCCATGCCTTCTGCTCAAGGAGGTAGGGAGCATGAGCGTTGTTCGTTTTGGCTTTGAAATGCGAAGAAGGACGGAAAAGCGTTGTGGACTGCTTTTTGACATTCAGCTTATAATACTGTTTATGTCATAAATAACTTTATTAAGATGGATTAGACAGTTTTTCAGAAAACATTAAAATGCTTCAAGTCTTTCCAACAGCTGTGCATGTCTTTCTACCTTTCAACACTTGACCCATCTAAGTACAAGTAGGTGATGTATTTTTGTGCTTCTGTCCTCATCGACAGGTGGAGTTCAGCAGAAAGTTCTGGGTATTTTCCCTCATGGGCCTCCTGCCAACCTTCGGACATACAGCACGCTACATCCTACGACTGGAAACATGAACCTCAGAACTGCTTCTTCTGCCTCCACCACTCAACAGGTCTCACTCTGACCAGTCGCTTTCACTTTTACCCACAGTGGAAATACTCAACATGCTCACAGTTGTACTCCTGATCTGTCTGTCAGGTTACCACAGCAGTGGGGCAACCTCAACCTGGAGCACCTGTTCCTGGGGGTACAGTAGTCAGAGGTCCAGCTCAGCAAGGTCTTCTGTCCAACATTTTACCCTCAATAAAAGCTCTTTAGGCTTTTCAAGCTGAAAATCCCAACACGTGTTTTTTGTCTTTCAGGTCAGCCTGTACAAGCTGCAGCCCAAGCTGGACCTGGTACTCCTCCTCTGAGAGCAGCAGGTCCTGCATCAACTCCTCCTGCCTCCACAGCTCCTGCTGCTTCATCTCAGCCTCAGAGACCTCAGCAGGGCCAAGTGAAACTCACCATGGCTCAGCTCATGCAGCTCACTCAAAGCGCACAGGTAAACATTTATCTATCTCCTGTTGTCTAAACAAACGGTGAAATTAGTTTCCATGATGTTTTTACTTCCTTTTTGTTTACTCTTTTTGATAATGTTTTGTTTAGTTGTAGTCAAGATTCTGTTTGCCTGAAACTCTGCAGGGAGGAAACCCAGGTCTGACTGTGGTGATCCAGGGTCAAGGGCAGACCCAGGGACAACTTCAGATCATCCCACAGGGTGTTGCGGTCATCCCAGGCCCCGGCCAGCAACTAATGCAGGCGGCCATGCCCAACGGCCAAGTCCAGCGCTTCCTCTTCACTCCTTTACCTCCGTCCTCATCAGCTCCTGTTTCGGCTCCCACTAACACGACCCCTGTCACAACGCAGACCCCTCAAACCCAAATGTCACCTTCAGCTCAAATGCGATCCGTTGCCCAAGTCCAGACGACTCCGTCATCCTTAGCCCATACACAAATGACGGCTCCTCTACCTGCGCCCATTCAGGCTACAAGCCCATCACCGAACCTAAACGTTGCCTCGAGCTCTGCTATTCCGGTTCAAACCCAAGTTCCTGCCCCTGTTTCTGCTGCTGCTCACGTCTCTCCACAAACGCACATTTCACCCCCAACGCCCATCTCTTCACAGCCCCAAAGGTCTGCTCTGGTGCCTCATTTTCCACAGCCTTCCACACAAGTTGTACCCCCTGCCCCACCCTCAGCTGTAACATTGCCCCAAGCTGCTTCCTCAACACAAAATTCAAGCCCAGGTGTGACTCATAAACAGATTCTCACTTCATCCCTTGTCCAAAACCAAACCGTGCCCCAAACCCAAGTGTCCACTCTTCCAGTAGGTTCACCCCCTGCACAAACCCAAACTGTATGTTCACCACTTGTACCAGGACAAGCTGTCGTCCAACCACAGTCTGTAAGCCCTGCCCCACGTGTAACTCCAGCCACTGTTCAGATGCAGGGTTCTGTTCCTGTGCCGGCCTTGTCCCCTGTGTCAGCCAGGCCACTTCCCCAAGTTTCTGTTGCAGCAGCATCCACTAACTCAGCTCCACTTCCTGTTTCTGCCTCACTTCCTTCATCTTTCCAAGTTCCAACCCCGGCCCTCGCTCCCGTCTCTGCTCCTGTCATAGCTGTTGTGTCTACCCAAATCGCCGTCCCGTCCCCAGCCAAAGCTCTAACCCAAATACAAGGTGCAGCTTCTGCTCCTCTCCATGCAGTTGTGGCAAATGCTGTTGTCACACCTGTCACAGCCACCTCTACTATACCTTCAGTGCCAGGTAAGGTGCCACCTACAGCAGGAAGCAAGTCCATTCTCTTTTACTGCTGTGGTATTACATATCCGGATATAGTAACATCTACCAGGTTTTTAAATTCATTAAATCTAACCACAAGTGTTCAAAAACACAACTGATTCCACCATATTTTAACAAAACAAAGCTACAATGGAAGAGTTGTTTGTGAAAACTATCAGTTGCTTACATTGTGCAACACTTTGGACCTGCTGTTCTTTACAGCGTCGCTTCAGTTTGTTGAGGTTTGCAGACATTTGTTTTTGCTCATTTTCCTAAAGTCCCACCGCAGCACAGACTGAAGTCTGCACTTTGAAAAGTTTCAGCACCCTCATTCTTTGCTTTTTCAGACTTTTGGTTTTAGATCTGCTAGTGATGAATGTCCTGTTAAAAGTTTGGTCCAAGCTTCAGCTGTTGGACAGATGCTCCTACATTTGACTCTAGAACCTGTTGGAGTTCATAGTCCACTCAGTAACTGCAAGGAATCCAGGTTCTGTGGCTGTAGAACAAGCCAAAATCATCCACAGCTGGCATGAGGTGTTTATGCTGATATGCTGTTGGGATTTTCAAAACATGGCACTTTGCATTATGGGTAAATGGTAAATGGACTGTACTTACAGTATATAGCGCCTTTCTATCTTGTCAAGACTTTACACTACAATCTGTGCCCTCATTTACCCATTCATACATCACTCTTTCTGTGCAAAGACTTATCAGTGCTTTATCACATTCATACACCGATGGGACACACATCGGAGGCAATGAGGGGTTCAGTGTCATGCCCAGGGACACTTCAGCACGTGATTGCTGGTGAAGTTGAACCCTCAGCTCTCGCATTGGAGGACAACTGCTCTAACCACTCAGCTGCAGCTGCCCCATCAACTAAACATCTCTGTTTGGACTCATCTGTCCAAAGGATGTTGTTCCAAAAGTCTTGTGATTGATGCTACTTTACAAATCTGCCACGTTGCTTTCAGAGAGAAGAGACTTTTTTTCTGTCGACCCTTACAGGCAGTCATACTTTTTTAGCTATTCTAACATGAACTTTAATCTTTAGCATGCTGAATGAAAGAAACCTGTAGATCAGGAGTGTAAAACTCACTTACAAAAGGGGGGCAAAAGTAAACCCTTTTTTAAAAAACTTTTTAGGGCCGGTTTCAGAATCTACATTAACTCAAGTTAGATACCCGACATCTTTTCTTGGTTGCAGGTTCCTCAACTAGAATATGATTGGTCTCATTTGATGTTCTCTGTTTCACTTTTGACATCATAAACGACATCATCAAATAAGCACTTTGATAACAGTTTATCTGTTTTAAATTGTGCTCTACAAATAAAGATGACTTGACTTGATAATCAAAGATTATTGAAAATAATTGAAGTGATGAAAGTATTTTACATTTAAAATAACATCTTGGGGGCCAGATAAGCTGTCAATGAGGGCCACATTCGGCCCCCGGGCCTTAAGTTTGACACATGTGCTGTAGAGTTCGAGATTTTATTTATTTTTTTATTTGATCATGGCACAATCTGACCTTTTGACATTATAATCTGATATGTAAACCCTACAACTGAAAGATACTGGACTTTCTCTTTCCTGTAGCTGTAACAATAACACTATCTTGTTGCCATTTGTATTCTTCAGCGTTGGTTTCACCTGTTTTTGTTCTTGTTTCTTTCTTGTTATAGCTCTGATAGAACAGAAGGCAGCTCAGCCCCAAGTCTGGACTCCAGTCTCGTCTCCAGCTCAGGCTCCAGTTCAGACAGCTCAGCAGGCAGCAGCTCCGGTTACACCGTCTGCCTCTGTGCCCAGCTCTGCTCCTTCATCAGCCTCTGCTCACTCCCCCGTTAATCTTCTGCCTCAAACATCTGTAACTCCTCGGTCTCCAGCGCAAGTTCATCATCCTGCTGCTGTATCGGTGCAGCAGGTGTCTCATCTGCCGGTCTCAGCAGTGCAGGTTAATATGAAGGGGCTACCTGTCTCCTCTGTTGTGTCTGCTGTGAGGCCCCCACAGCCTCAGCTGCAGCCCCAAACCCATCCTCAAATTCGGCCCCAGACACCAGCTCAGATCTGTGCACAGGTCCAGGTCCCCGCCTGTGGTCAAGTCCAGCAAATGCCACATATTCAAACGCATCCCCAGTTACAAGCTCAGATTCAGCCTCAGGTCCGGGTTCAGTTTCAGCCACGGGCACAAATTCAGCCACAAACTCCACCGTCGCCTCATACTCAAGTACAACCCCTTACTCAGGTCCAGTCCCCAACCCAGTCCCAGCCAAGGGTTCCGCCTCAGTACCAACCCCAGATACAAGCTTCATTTCAAACACAACCTCAGACTCTGCAGCAGCCTCAGGTCCAGTCTCAGGCCCCAACTCCCCTTCAGCTGCAGCCCCAAATCCAAACTCAAATCCAAACCCAGGTCCAGCTCCAGCAACAAAACCAGATTCAAGCTCAGGCTTCACAACAGCCCCATGTTCACATTCAGCCCCATGTTCAAGCTCAAGTCCAAACACAACCTCAGTTTTCAGTCCAGTCGTCACAACAAACTCAAGTTCCTCCACAGCTTCAAGCCCACGGCCAAGTCCAGGCAAAACTCCAAGTGCAGTTCCAACCTCAGAACCAATCACAAGTTCAACCCCAGCCTCAGCTTCAGGTCCAGTCTCCAATCAGGCATCAGGTCATCACAGTTTCAGGCCTCCAGCAGCCGGTCCAGCTACTCTCAGCCCTGCCGCCGCACGTTGCAGCCCAGATCCAAGCCCAGATCCAGGCTCAGGCCCAGCAGCAGGGTGGGGCCGTTCCCCAGCAAATCAAACTGCAACTACCTATCCAGATCCAGCAAACGGGGGCGCAAATCCAAGCCCACCAGCTCCAGAACGTGGTGACCATCCAGGCGCCGGCAAACGTTCAGGAGCAGCTTCAGAGGATGCAGCAGCAACCACCAAAGAAGAAGAAACACCACGAGGCTAAAAGGGAACCAAAAGAGCAGAATCTGCAGGCGGTCAGTCCAAAAGATGGCGTCCAGAAACAGGTGCTAATCAAGAGAACGGCAGTTATCTTTTTTTTTTTACTCCAGTTGTTTAAATTGTGGATTTTAATTGAAACTTTTAAATGTCAGGTGGGAGTGAAGCAGAATTTTTCAGCAGAGCATCAGAAACAAAGGAAGAGCTTGGCTGCAGTGGAGCGGGAGGAGAACCAGAGGTTGGACTCTTCTTATCAATCACAGAACCACTAAAAATACTTTGTGTTACTTACTACAGGACACATTAAACTAGTAATTACCGTAAAAGATAAAAGCTTCTTAATTATAAGCACCAGCCCAACCAAGCGAATCCACAGCTAAACTTTTGTTTTCTGCTTTCAGAATGATCGTGTGCAACCAGGTGATGAAGTTCATCCTCGACAAGATCGAGAAGGACGAGAAGCAGGAAGCTAAGCAGGAAGCTAAGAAAAGGAAGAAGGAAGAGGTGGTGGAGCAGAAACGCTCCAAGCAGAACGCCACCAAACTGACGGCGCTGCTGTACAAGCACAAGGAGCAGCTGAAGGCAGAAATCCTTAAAAAGAGGGCTCTGTTGGATAAAGAGCTGCAGCTGCAAGTCCAGGTTAGACTTTATAGATGATAGATGTCACAACTTCTCACTGAGCTGTGCACGGTCTCATGAAGCTGCATCAAGCTGGAGTCAGGATGGTTTAGACTGGTGGAATTAGAACTACCTTCATGTTTTTCAAACGTTTGAGTCTCTGCAGCTCAAACAGAAATGACAGACACCAACACCAGAGTGACATAATTCATGCCGTGTAGTGAGAGCAGCTCTCCCCCCCACCCCCACCACCTCACCGCAGCCTCCTGCTGCAGGTGGGAGGTGCTCTATGTTTACAAGCAGAACAGACTTTGAAGCAGAGGAAATACAATTTGAACCTCTTGCTTGAACTCCGTTTTAGATGGGAGGAGAAAAATGAATCAAACTGAGGTGGAGGTGGTGACAGTCTTCCTGCGCTGTTTAATTACCAGTGGGAGCAACTTTTCTCTGATAGCAATCATCCACCAGTTAAAGAAGATGGCTTCCCATGCTGAGCCCGGTTCTAGTGGAGGTTTCTTCCTGTTAAAAGGGAGTTGTTTCTTTCCACTGTTGCCTACGTGCTTCTCTGGATGTGAGATTGCAAAAAAGAGAAGATTCAACGCAGTCTGCCAACTTCCTAAAATACAAAAAACTTTTACTAATTGGCGTTTTATAATTTATGTGAATGTTCTTGTACTGAGCCCTGAGACGATGTTTGTTGTGAATTGGGGCTATATGAATAAACTTAATCAAATTGAAAATTAACTTTAAGCAACACACGAGGGAGGTTCACTGCAGGTGGTTCTGAGAGTTTCCAGTCGGACTGAAGCTTCTGTCAAAGCTCATCAATGTCTGAATTTATTTTATGCATATTATCTGTGTTGTCCTGTAATTTGAAGGTGAAATGTTAGCAGCTGTATTCTTTTTAATGGTTTTCTTTTTAACTGTTTTGATGGCCTAAATGTTTTTATTAAAACGCAGTTGTGCTTGTGACAAAACGTTCAAGTTCCAGTCAACTTTATTGTCATTTCCATCACATGTTGTACATGAGGTGGAACAAAATTATGTACACAGGGTCCCAGTTACACCCAAAAATATAAAGTGTAAAAATAAATAGTATATAAAGATCTAAGATATACACTAAACAAATGTCAAAGAGTTGTTGAAGAGTCCAAGAGTGCTTGAAAGGATTTCTTCCAGTTCTCTTTAAACTCTTGTTTAATGAGCTGAGTGTGTCTTTACCTGAGAGACGTCCAAGAAGAGCTTTAACTGCATTAATATTTGTGTTCCTCCTTCAGTGCACATTATTTGTGTGATTCTTCCAGACAAGAGAAACAAAATGTTAACTACGGCTGAAAAGGCCTCTTTAAATGTCCGTTTTTCTTCTCAGGAAGAGCTGAGGCGAGACCTGGCCAGGCTGCAAAGAGAAAAGGAGAAAGCTCGAGCTGCCATCGCTCAGGCGGCTGCAGCGACCATCAAGGCGGCCTCCGCCCACCTTCCTCACTCCACACATTCCTCTCACAGCATGCACACGTCATCCCATAAACGTAAACGAGAAGACGAGAGAGACAGAGACAAAAACCGAGACAGAGACCGGCATCACGACAAGAGCAAGAAACGGGACAGGGACAAGGACAAAGACAAGGACCGACACAGAGACAGGGAAAAAGACAGAGACCGGGATCTGGAGAAGGAGAGAGAGAGAGACCGAGAGCGGGACAAGAATCGGGACAGGGAACAAGACAAAGAAAGGGAGGGAGATCAGGAGGGAGATCCCAACTTATTAAAACTCAAGAAGAAGAAGAAGAAACTGTCTTCTGCCTCGAAGGATCACAAGAAGGACACCAAGCTGTACTGTGTCTGCAAAACGCCCTACGATGAGTCGAAGTGAGCTCCTCTACGTTTCTATGATCACTCTGTCCATTTAATGTGACTTTAGCTTCTGGGAATAGCTGTGACAAACTGGTTTGCTCTCGCAGGTTTTACATCGGGTGTGACCTGTGCTCCAACTGGTTTCATGGCGCGTGTGTCGGCATCACGGAGAAGGAGGCCAAGAAGCTGGAGGACTTTGTGTGCAGCGACTGTAAGCGTGGTCAGGAGGGAGGCAGCAGCGAGGAGCTCTACTGCATCTGCCGGACACCTTATGATGAATCACAGTACGGCTTTTTACACACCACGTTCCTCTGAATCAGATCTGTTCTTCTTAGTTGTGGTTTAGCCCTAGAGTTTGGTTTTGACCACCTATCCAATCCCCCCGCAGGTTTTACATAGGCTGCGATCGCTGCCAGAACTGGTACCATGGGCGCTGCGTGGGCATTCTGCAGAGCGAGGCCAATCACATCGATGTGTACGTTTGTCCGCAGTGTCAGTCGACCGAGGACGCCATGACAGTCCTGTCGCCGCTCACTGACAAGGACTATGAGGGGTTAAAAAGAATATTACGCTCGCTACAGGTATGAAACTAATGTATGTAGCTAAGTAATAGATTTTTATGAACTGTGCAGCAAGCTCATCTAACAGAGAGGTATAACTGGCAGTCTGCACTGCAGCTGCAGAGTACAGAATACTTTCTGTACCCTGTAAAGGTAGTTTAAATGTTTAAAAGATTTTATGTAGTTTTATTGTTTTTGTTTTGGCTGTAATTAGACCTTTCTGGCACCTTAATGCAAACAATATTTGAATTGTTTGAAAATAACTCTTTTTATAAAAAATATATTTATAAAATATTACAGTCTGCATTTGTTTACCATCATTCATTTCATCCAAGAATCCCTCCAATAACAGGATTTGTAAATGTTTTCCTGTTTCAGTCAAATGTTTAGATCTATATTTTTTCTCCTTAAATTTTATATTTACGTTTCTGAATTCCATGTTTTATAATGTAATCCAATTTTCCACCTAAAAACAGGTCTGACTTTACCAGTTAGGTAAGAAAATGTCCCAAATTTCATTCATTCGACCTTTATTTATCAAGGTTAGTCTCACTGAGCCACGAGGACTCATTTACAGGAGACCTGTTTCAAACAGAACACAGATGAGGTACAGACAATAGACAGTCATAGAAAAGCTTATAAAATGAAAGGTCAGTAAAATAAATTACATAAAACGAAACAAAAACAAGCTACATAAATGGACAAATTACAATGAAAATACAGCTAAATGTTTTCAGAACATACTTAAAGATCTGCTTATAACTTTGAATAAATTAAAAAAAAAACTTTTTCTTTCTTTTTTGTAAAATAAAGAACTTCACGTGTTTCATGTGAGAGTACCGTATTTTTCGGACCATAAGGCTCACTGTTGATTTTTGAGGAAATTAAAGGATTTGAAGTGCACCTTATAGTTACAGTTTGGGAACTAAAGACTCCCTTTGCATGTTTTATCTAATAAAATATAGTTAATTGTATTCAACCTTCATCTTGTTTGACTCACTGATGATGATGATGGAGTTGTTATTTTAGTTATTTTCCTCCTAAAGTTTTGCATCTTTCATTTCAGCTTCCATTTCAGTTGTTCAATTTTTAGATTCTGATATGTTTGACCTTTTTTAATTCAGTTGTTTACCTGTTCTGTGTTGTTTCAGTCTCATAAAATGGCCTGGCCGTTCCTCGAACCTGTGGATCCCCATGACGCTCCAGATTATTATCGTGTGATTAAAGAGCCGATGGGTAAGATCCGTTCACAGCCCAGACTCAGAAAAACTGCCCGTCAGCCTGAATTATTTGAGTCGGATAATTACTAGAAAAAACAATTTGTCAGGCAGATTCTGTCCTAATTATAGTTTTTTATTTTTTGTCTTGTGCTCTCGTATTGTTCTGACCCTCTTAGACTTCTCCACGATGGAAACCCGTTTGCAGAAGCGACATTACCAGAAGCTCACGGAGTTTGTGGCAGATGTGACCAAAATCTTCGACAACTGCCGCTACTACAACCCCAACGACACGCCCTTCTTTCAGTGTGCCGAGGTGCTGGAAGCCTTCTTTGTACAGAAACTGAAAGGCTTTAAGGCGAGCAGGTGAGTGCTGCAGCTCGAGGTGTGCACTTCCATTCAAAGCTCTTACAGCCTTACTCAGACATGGCTGTCATGCTTGTTTTAATTATTTTATGTAGGGATGCACGATATTATCGGCATGGTATCGGTATCGGACGATGTTGATGATGGTTCAATATGACGTTGGTCCACCCTTTGCAGCTAGAACAGCTTCAACTCTTCTGGGAAGGCTGGGTGGGAAGGAAGGTTTAGGAGTGTGTTTATGGGGATTTTTGACGATTCTTCCAGAAGCACATTAGTGAGGTCGCATGTACTGATGTTGGACGAGAAGGCCTGGCTCTCAGTCTCCGCTCTAATTCATCCCAAACATGTTCCATCAGGTTGAGGTCAGGACTCTGTGTAGGCCAGTCAAGTTCATCCACACCAGACTCTGACATCCATGTCTTTATTATGGACCGTGCTTTGTGCACTGGTGCACAGTCATGTTGGAAGAGGAAGGGGCCAGCTCCAGACTGTTCCCACAAAGTTGGGTCCAAAATGTCTTAATATGCTGAAACAGTCAAGAGTTCCTTTCACTGGAACTAAGGAGCCAAGCCCAGCTCCTGAAAAACAACCCCACACCTTAATCCCCCCTCCACCAAACTTTACACTTGGCACAATGGAGTCAGACAAGTACCGTTCTCCTGACAACCACCAAACCCAGACTCATCCATCAGATTGCCAGATGGAGAAGCACGATTCGTCACTCCGGAGAACGCGCCTAGCTAACCTGAAGGCCATATGAAGTTTGGAGGTCTGTAGTGATCGACTCTGCAGAAATTTGGCGACCTCTTCGCACTATGCGCTCCACCATCTGCTGACCCCGCTCCGTCAGTTTACGTGGCTGAGTTGCTGTCATTCCCAAACACTTCCATTTTCTTATATTACAGCTGACAATCGACTGTGGAATATTTAGGAGCGAGGAAATTTCACGACTGGATTTGTTGCATAGGTGGCATCCTATCAGTTCCTCGCTGGAATTCACTGAGCTCCCGAGAGCGACCCATTCTTTCACAAATGTTTGTAAAAACAGTCTGCATGATAGGTGCTTCATTTTATACACCTGTGGCCATGGAAGAGATTGGAACACCTGATTCCGATAATTTGGATGGGTGAGCAAATACTTTTGGTAATGTAGTGTAGATTTTAGATCTTATTACTGTTTTTCTTTTACATTTTAATACTTTTGTTGGATGTAACTGGGACCCTGTTTTCGTTCCACTACATGTGATGTGAATAGGGGCTGAACGACTACATAATTTTTAAAGTCGACATTAACATAATAAAAATCGAGTAGTTGATGACGTCATAGGCTCTCAGGATGCAAAAAATAAATAAAACCGTAAAAAAACGTCATTTATTATTTACAAAAAAAGACCAACAAAACATTGGGAGCGTATATTATGCTCCTACCATTTATCATACTGCAAATAAGTCACAGGAAAACCAAAACTATTAGTTATTATTATTAAGCTGAAAAAATGAAAGAAACGTGCGGCACGTAAAAAACGAAACTAGAAACAGTGGGGCGGACGACTACCCCGCACCACCGCTGGGTGCGCATTAGGTTTAGTTTTAGAGATTAATAAGTTTATAGGTTTTTTTAAATAGGTTTAGAGATTAATATTTCTTGATTTTAGTTTGTGAAACAAGGTCAGAGGAAGCTCGTTCTGGTTCAGTCGATTGGACCCGGTGTTGCACCATATTCTGTGACCTGCAACAGTGCATGCAACATCACCCCCTATGGTCACAATATACGGTGGTCACAGAATATGGTGTAACACCTGTTCGCAGCGAGCTCCAAACAGTCAGGAAGTTGATTCATTTTCTGTTTCCTTACGGTAGTTGAACCAGAAGATTCATCTGTAGTGAAATATTTTCAGACTATTGATGCATTTCTACCAGTTTGCCAAGACTGGGCCTGCTCTGTGCCATCTGTCTTCTTGGAGGAATCCATTTTGTAGCTGCCCGCGCCCGGTGCGGATCACGTGACGCAATGACGTCATTACGACGTAATGACGTAACTGCGAATGCCCAATGTGAAATTTAAAATCTCGCGAGATGTCCTAGAATCGACGTGTCGATCACTTGAGTAGTCTGTTAAAGCCCTCGGTGTGAATGACGAAGAACCTTGAATCCTTGAATATATAAGATAATGTTTTGATATGACAACCCAGTGACAGGGATGCCTGCAGCGCCACTACAACATTATGACGTCATGCGCACCTACCTGATCTGATCACGGTGGGAGAGGAAGAAGTGAAAATGTCAGCGGTGTGCAAGTTTTTTAAAAATGTCGGAAACTGATAGCATATATGATTGATAATATATCTATTAATGCACTACTACTTTTGCACTTTTCACTTGTCGCTTGTGAACAGGTTGAGTTTAGATTTGTGAAAATTTACAAATTTGCACTGTTCGAGTGTTGTCATTGTGTTAGAGAAAGTAACTGTCATGAATAAGTTTGACTTTAAACATAATCCAAATTGAAGTGTTATGTCATTTTCAGCCCCCTTTTTGGCATCTGCATTTGGTAGCAGGTCAAATTAACAAAGCCCATGTGGAATAACGTAGTAATTTAATTCACAGCAGAGAAAGCTATGTGGTCTCTGTAAGTAGGTCTAGGGAAAAAAATATCAGTATCGTATCGGTTATCGGCCAAAAATCCAATATCGTGCATCCCTAATTTTATGCATTCATGGCTGCCGCTCACTTTGTACCACTAGCATGTTTTGTAGCTGGATTTTTTTATAGAATGTGCTTTATTGTAGACTAGACAGTGTTGTATGAAAATTCGTATCCATCATCTCATTGAGCCTTAGTGCCACGTTGCGTCACCGTTGCATGTGTGTGTGTGTTCATCTGTGCTGCATGCCTTGTAATTCAAGCCATCCCATGTTCTTCTTTTCTTCCAGATTGTCAGATTCTTAAGTTGGCCAGTCTAGCAGGAGTCTGGACTGGATGCTGGTGTCTCTAGTGTCACTCACATGAAAACCTTGTCTTTCCAAAACAGCAAACAAAAGAAAAAAAACAACCACCAGACGTGCCTTTTTGTTTGATTTGAGGAAGTGGTTGTAATCATGCCTGACAAAAAGTCATCATCGTCTTCATCATGTTGTCAATACATTGGGCCTTTACGATCAATCAGCCGAACCTGCAGGATTTTAAATGTTTTACTTATTAAGTTGTATTTATTTCTGTTAAACGCCACAGTTGAATTGGACATGTTGAAATTGTTGATTAAAATATGAAAAGGTGCGTATTTTATTATGGAGATATTTATGAGACATTTTGTACACGCCCTCATTTAGACTTTCGAATGTTCCCAGGTGGTTGTCTTGAATGTACATATTTTTATTACGCACAGTGGCTGTATTTGACTTTTTAAAGAGTTATGAAACTAGTGATTTTTAGATCTGTAGTCCTTTGAGTCTAAAATGTACTGAAAGCAGTGAGAACTTTCTGGAAGCGGTGTTCTCTGATAAAGACATTCCTGGTTATTCACACCAACACGGCTGCGGGAAACCGATCCGCTCCGTTCGCTTCCTCTGTTAGATGCTTTTTAAGACGTGAAACTGTGAGGAGCTTTCAATTCTCCCCCCTCTCTCCACATCCTTTAGGTCTCATAACAACAAGCTTCAGTCTTCTTTGGCCTCTTAGACAACATCGCACGTTGAGCAAACAAAATGCACTTGCCAAGAATGTGGCTTTTCTGAACTCTGTGACTCTCGGTGACCGGGTCGGCGGGATCCGTTCGGGCAGAGCTGCCGGCACACTTTCAGGCTGTAAGGGGGACCTCCCAGGACCTGTCGTCACAAACAGGGGCCCTGTACAGAATGACTGAGGCATTTCAAAATAAAAGTTTACCTCGGAGAAAACTCTTCTGGAGCTCTCTCAGATTTCTTTGTTTGTTTTCTTTTTCTTTTTTTTTTTTTTACGTGTAAAAAATAAATCTCTAGGACCATTGTGCTCCTCATGTCCACTCAAATAAAAAACTGAACACTTGCGTCCTTCCTGACCATCATGTATGGAGAGTTTTGTGTCTGAATTCAGATCTCACAGTGGAACAGTTTGTTTTTTTTTTAATCCCCATTTCCACTCATCTAGTCTGAAATGGCATGAAAGAAAGTTTAAGTACTAAAGTACTAAATATTTGGACACCGTTAGTCTTCTTGGTTAAACGTCTATATATCCTACTGAAGGTACAGTGATAAGCTGTTGTACATTACTTTATTTGCAGTAGTGACTGAGAAGGACAAATGATGTGTGAAGGTTCCTGCCCTGTTTGTAAAAAACGTTCATCAGATTTTGTCTTGATTTCCTTTTTTGTATTACAGCTGAAGAAATATTGATGTATATGGAACTTAATAAAACAGAAAAGACAGATTCTCTTGCGTGTTTTTGCAGTAATGGAAAATGGGAACATAAAAAACTATTTTTTTAATGTATTTTTTATTTGAGCAGAAAATATAAAAACAGCCTGGTGTTCCTTTATAAAGTTAAAGGCTGTTTAAGATGACTTGCAGCTACTACCACATCAAACTATGGGCGTGTGTTAGATCAACTAGGTTGACTTCAAAGTTTAATCAGTTGTACATCGGAGCTTATTTTAGTGGTTCATGAAATATTTTGCTAACAGAAGTTATGCCGAAGCTTGAAGCAAAGTATTGTGGATCTTGGCTGCAAACACACTTAAGTTTTACCTAAACAGCTGTAAATTTGAAGTTATACCCATTTTGTGTTTTTAAATGATCAATTGTTTGGCAGCTATTTTGAATCAATTTGACTTCTAAGGTTTAGTTGTAGACCCTCATCTAATCAATTATTTCTAAGTTTCATTGATAATTGTCCAGCAGTTGGTTAGACGTTTTGATGACGCATTGTCCCTCATTTGTTTGTGACAAAAGGTGATTTTTTTTTGTTTTGTTTTAAAAATTGATGAGTGCTTTATAATTTACAATTTATAGCTTCTTTTCACGCGTAATAAAACAAACTGAAAACAAATAAAACCTAAAGGACATATAAATAAAATTAACAAAATATTTTTAGTTCTTGCAAATCAATCAGCAGATCCAGGATCAGTTGCATACCAACTAACCTTATTTTAAAAATCTCGCGATATTCTCGTGGTGACGTCACTTCCTTTTAGCAGTGGTATTTTTTTAAACGGACCAATGAGCGCAGGTTTTTGGATGCTTTGACTCGAACGGACCAATCAGAGGCCTCTGTTCCAGGAATTTAAAGGTCTGTGCGGCAGATTTTCTTAGTCACTGTTCCTGTTCCAGAGCTAGGTGAGTGTTTGTCTGCTGTTTGTTTATTCGGAAAAGTTAAGAAGAAAGTGATTTATTTTCGATTTATGTATTTTTATGTCAATTTTGTCCACGTTAGCTAGCGTCTCGAATTCAAGCAAGGATTTAGCTTAACATTTTGCCACCTCTATGGCCACGAGGCAGCTCTCATCGACTGAAAATGTGTTTGTCTTCGCAGAAACGACACAAAACAAGGTTTCCATCAACCATCGAACGTCCTTCTCTTCCTCCAAAATGTCCGAGAACGTCGCTCGCCTGAACCAATTCAAGAACAAAGGCAAAGACACTAACGTGAGCGCACCAGCTGCTTTTCTTCCGGTATTTAATTAAAATTAAATGCGTTTGAGACTTTGTTGCATATGAATTTTGTTACTTAAACGCAGGAGCTTCGACGCAGGAGGGCAGAGGTGAACGTGGAGCTTCGAAAGGCAAAGAAAGATGACCAGATCTTCAAAAGGAGGAATGTGTCCACAGATCCGGAAGAGGCCACTTCTCCCCTCCAGGAAAGGACCCAGAACTGTCAGGTAGAACTTTTTATGGTTCGCTGTTTAGTTGTTCTGAACTGGAGTGGTTGACCTTGAATCCTGACCTGTTCTCAGGCTGCGAGGCAGTGGACGGTGGAGGAGATTGTTACAGGAGTGAACAGCAGTGATCCTGAGACCCAGCTCCAGGCCACCCAGGCTGCACGGTAAGACCTCAGAAATCTGCTCTTGGTGTTTTTATTTGAACGTGGTTCAGTTTTAACCCGTCTCTGTGCCACCCCTCGCACAGAAAACTGCTGTCTCGCGACAAACATCCCCCCATCGATCAGATGATCAGCGTTGGGCTGATCCCCAAGTTTGTGTCCTTCCTCGGCCTTACGGCGTATCCTCCCATCCAGTTCGAGGCGTCCTGGGCTCTGACCAACATCGCCTCCGGGACGTCTGATCAGACGGCTGCTGTGGTGGAGAGCGGTGCCATTCACGCCTTCGTTAGCCTGGTCACATCCCCCCATCAGCACATCAGCGAGCAGGCAGTCTGGGCTCTGGGAAACATTGCCGGTAACGTCACCTCCTCGTGTAGCTCGTGTTTGCTGATGGACTAGGGCCTCAGTCATTTTGATTCCTCTGCTCTTCAGGTGATGGGTCGGCTCTCAGAGACAGGGTGATTAAACACGGAGCTGTGGCACCTCTGCTAAGTCTGCTGGCAGTTCCTGACCTCACTGTGTTTACTGTAAGTGGATCTTCACTTCCCAGTTGTAGTTCTTGACACTCTTCACGTGCCGACAGTTCACTTGAGATGATGTCATTTACAAGGTTTGACCTCCCACAAAGAAGAAAAACACTCAAATGATTTTAAACATGAACAGCAGTGGGAAGTTCACTCCTTTTTTAAAAAAAAAAAAAAAAAAAAAAAACTGCTCAGCTTTTAATTGTCATGTTCAACCTGTAGGTGGCGTCCTAACACAACAAAATGTTCCTCCATATCACTTCTCACTTTTTTTTTTTTATTTTGCAGCCTGGCTATCTGAGAAATGTGACCTGGACCCTCTCAAACCTCTGTCGGAACAAGCACCCCTCTCCTCCCATGAGTGCAATCCAACAGATCCTGCCTTCTCTCATCCGCCTCCTGCACCACCACGACCTGGAGGTGTTGGCTGACGCGTGCTGGGCTGTGTCCTACCTGACGGATGGCTCTAATGACCGCATTGACGTGGTGGTCAAGACTGGTGTGATCCCTCGCCTGGTCAAGCTGCTTGGCTTTCAGGAGCTGTCTGTGGTTGTAAGTATGATGGAACCAGGGAGGTTGTGGAGTGTGTGGTGGTCTGTGTGTTCAACACTTTCTCCTTCTGTCAGACTCCGGCGCTGCGTGCCCTCGGGAACATTGTGACTGGCACAGATGAGCAGACTCAAGCCGTGCTCGATGCTGGAGCCCTGTCCATGTTCCCACAGCTGATGCGCCACAAAAGGCCCAGCATCCAGAAGGAGGCGGCCTGGACTCTGTCCAACATCACAGCAGGGAGGGACGCTCAGATCCAGGAGGTCATCGACGCAGGCCTCATTCCTTACATGGTTGAGCTGCTTGTGCGGGTATGATCTCAGATTTTTAGTTTTATTATAATGTTATTATTGATATATATATATATATATATATATTTATTATTGTTTATTCATATTGGCTGTCTCTCCTTCAGGGTGACTACAAAACTCAGAAAGAGGCTGTGTGGGCTGTTACAAACTTCACCAGCGGGGGCACTGTTCAGCAGGTGGTGTTCCTCGTCCAAGCCAACGTGCTGGAGCCTCTCCTGAACCTGCTCTCCTCCAAGGACAGCAAGACCGTCCTCGTCATCTTGGACGCAATAACTAACATCTTCCTGGTGAGGCCACATCTAATGGACGCCTCGTGCGACACGACTACGCGTCCTCCTCTTGACGGCTGTAAAATGTTTTTTGTTTTTGTTGTCAGGCTGGAGAAAAAATCGGTGAGTCGGACAAGCTGAGTCTGATGATTGAAGAATGCGGCGGACTAGATAAGATTGAGGCGTTGCAGTCTCATGAGAACGAAATGATCTACAAAGCTGCCCTCAACCTGATCGAGAAGTACTTCTCTGAGGAGGTCAGTATGAGATGAAGAGGTTTGGAGTCGTTTAGTGTTCGTTTCTGACCCCTCTCTTTTTTTTGTGTGTGTAAAGGAGGAGGAGGTGCAGAGCGTGGCACCTGAAGCCACCGAGGACGGTTTTGCCTTCCAGATCAGTGAAAACCAAAGCACTTTCAATTTCTAGATGACTTTCTGTCTTCTCCACTCTGTGACCTCCTTCTTACTGTACGTCTGATGTCTGTGTTTTCTGTACGTGCTGGTTTTAATGTAATCAATTGTAAATAAAGTTTGTTACATCATGATTGAGGGTTTAATTTGTTTTCTATTTGCCTGTAAGCAGATGATATCCAGGAGTTGATGGCAATGTTTTTAAGGAATTGTGCAATCTTTTAGTTTCTACTGAACCAAAGATTAGGTCGAGGCTCCAAATCAAATGTAGCTCCAAATCTCAGTCATTTAAAACTAATCTTCATTCGCTTGTATTGTCAGTTTTCTATTCCATTCAAGGATGGATGGAATAGAAAATCTTGTAAGATTTTATTTATTTTTTTACAAATAGGATGGCTAAAAAAAAAAAAAAACAGCTAGATTCTAAGTTGAATGTAGAAAACTAAAAACAGGAACATGTCATTTTTTCCATTTGAGCCATAATCTTCAATTAAAGACCAGCTTCAAATATGTCTGTGATGAATCTATAGTGTATCAGGGGTGTCGGTTGCTGACAAAAGGGGCCTAAATTAACCTTTTTTCAAACTAGGGGCTAATTTCAAAAAACGCACACTCATGTCAGATTTTTTTTTTTTTTTTTTATATATATATATATATATATATATATATATATATATATATTTTCTTGGTTATAGATTTCTGTTTGGTAGGTCTCATTTTATGTTCTCTGTTGCGCTTTCAACATTATAATCAAAGATTACTGAAAAAATGAAGAGAAGCATTTTACGTGTCGCATATCAGCTTGGGGGGCCAGATAAGATGTCAACGAAGGCCACATTTGGCCCCCAGGCCTTGACTTTGACAAAAAAACAAACGCACCTACACCCCCTGAACATAAGAGGATCTGCGGTGGAAGTGGTCACCAGTCAAGTCACATTTATTTATGTAGCACATTTAAAACGGTAACTGTTATCAAAGTGCTTACCAAAAAAGATCACAGCATCAAATAAGATGCATAAAAGCATAAAAACATGAAATAATGAGAAATAACGAAATACTAAATCAAATCACCCTGTGTTAAATGTCAGGGAGTAAAAGTAAAATGGATGAACACAATCATCAACGAAATACCATACCAATTTATTTATATAGCACTTAAAACAGCAACAAGGCCAACCAAAGTGCTGTACAAAAGAACCAAACATGCACAGCAGACAGGAAAACATAAAATAGAAATACAGGTACAAATAGCAGCAGAAGCTAACTAAAATGGCCAACAGAGTAGAGAACAGACCGGACCAAAATGAGATCACACTGTTAAATGCCAATGAGTACAGATGTGTTTTGAGGAAAGATTTAAAAATAGAGACTGAGGTGGCCTGTCGAATGTTGATGGGCAGATTGTTCCAGAGTTTAGGGCCCATGACTGAAAACGCCCGATCTCCTCTGAGCTTCAGCCTGGTTTGTGGTACCACCAAAAGCAGCTGGTCTGATGATCTCAAAGCCCGAGAAGGAGTATAAGGATGGAGGTCTGAGAGGTATGAGGGTGCAAGGCCGTTAATGCACTTGAATGTCAGCAGGAGAATTTTAAAATCAACTCTGACACGCACAGGAAGCCAGTGAAGTGAGGACAGAACTGGAGTAATGTGCTCAAACCTGCGAGTTCCTGTTAGCAGCTGAGCTGCAGCATTTTGGACGAGCTGGAGACGTGAGAGAGAGACCTGACTGACCCCAGCTACAAGTACTTGTGTGTAACACATGAATGACAACCTCAGCTGGAGCAACATCACCACCAGCCTGATCAAGAAAGCTCATCAGAGACTCTACTTCCTCGGACGGCTGAGACGAGCTGGTCTGGGAAGCTCAGTCCTCACCTCCTTCTACAGGTGTGCAGTGGAGAGCATCCTGTGCTCCACCATCAACGTGTGGCATGGAGGCTGCACAGCTGCAGAAAGAAAAGCTTTGCAGAGAGTGGTGAAGGCTGCACAGAAGACTGTCGGAATCAGTCTCCCCACCATCACAGACATCTACACCTCTAGATGCAGGAAGAGGGCCACTTGCATCATGAAGGACCCCACTCACCCAGCACACACTTTTTGTCCCGCTCCCCTCAGGAAGGAGGTTGAGGAGCATTAAGAGTAGAACCACTAGACTGAGGAACAGCTTCTACCCTGAGGCTGTTAGACTCATGAATCTCTAACTAGAATAATCACTGTGAAAAAAATCACATCATGCTGCTGCTGATCTGTTTCATGTTGCTGCTGATCTGTTTCATGTTGCTG